CCGCCGTGGTGGTGTCCGTGTCCGAACTCGCCGCCGTGGTGGTGCTTGTGCTCGGCGCTTCCGTGGTGCTTGTGTCCGTGACCGAACTCACCGCCGTGGTGATGCTTGTGGTCGGCGCTACCGTGGTGGTGATGCCCGTGGCCGAACTCGCCGCCGTGATGGTGTCCGTGTCCGAACTCTCCTCCGTGGTGATGAGCGTGCTCGGCGCTTCCCTTGTGGTGGTGCTCGTGGTGTGCCTCACCGTCGTGTTTATGTGCGTGTTCCACGTCACCGGTATGGTAGTGCGTGTGCTTTATGACTCTGCGTATGATATTACACAGACGAAAAAAATTAAACTCATTGCTATATTATTACCTGTACGCACGACGAGCGTGGTACAACTGTGAAAGACGTGTATGTCGTACACGGTACACGAATGATGCGTACACGGTTGAACAACAATAACACTAAATTATAAATATCGCAATCGACGATTCTTACCCTTCTGCTACTTCGTTATCGCTCAATTTGGCCGCACCGAAAGACGTCAAACCGACCAAACACGCGATAGTTATCTGTAAAACATTTTTAAACGGTGCGTTTTTATTATACATATTGTATAAAACGTACGTGTCGTCGTACAGTCGCTTCTGGGTAATCTACGTGTTGTGTGTCTGTGTGTGTGTGTGTGTGTGTGTGTGTATGTGTGTGGTTAAAGCACGTATAGGCCCGAATCGCCAAGTGGGCGGTGGTAGTTTTGCGTAAGGGGGTTGTTGTGGGGAAGCTATAGCTGCAGCGATAAAAATCCACTGCCGAAAAGCCGTAAAACCTCGAACAAATTATTTGAAAAACATTAAAAAGCCAACTCTACTTATGTTTCATAAAACTTAACGACTAGTTTTGTACTTTTTCTCTACCACACGGATATACACGTGTATCCGTATACAATTTTTTTCCTTTTCTCTTTTCTTTTTACGATCGCAACGTAGACCGCCAGTACTTTACGATCTGTAACGAAGCGACGCGTCCCTTATACGAGTTTATACGTCGTACCCCCGAGGAGGTTTTTATGGGATGTTGAACGAAAAAAAATAAGAGCAAAAAACTTGGTTGTTTACACGGAACACCGTCCACGCTGTGGATCGTCGTTGGGAAAATAAGGGAGCGGGTTTTTACGGTCACAGTCTAATAAAAATTTATTGAAATTGTAATAAAAACCCGAACAACGTTTACATGTACTTATATATACATACATATACACTGTTTTTTATATACAAGGTATTGCCATTGGATATACGAGTTGCGGCGCGGTATATTCACTTAAAAGTGCGATTAAACTCGTAAAACTTCTTCTTTCAATGTAACGAACTTTTTCTATATTACGAAATAGAAGTATAGAAAAAAAGTGGCGACGACATGCGTATGTGACATGTGTATATTGTATTATATGTTTTTATAATTTATGTGTAGAGAATAAAAATAATAAAAAGTATAGAAAATTCATGTTCGAATATAAAATTATTGTATACACGTATTTCAAATAAAAAGTTAATAAATTGTAAAATATAACGAAAAAAATTGTACTTACCAGAGGAGTTATGGAACCCATGTTTGTTTGAATATATAATATATTGGCACGATATTGTTAGTCAAACGAAGGAAAGACTGATTGTGGTACTGTTACTGCGGTCGTCTGGAGTTTATATATGAAAACTTAATCCCACAGTAGTGGGAAAATCGGTTCGGAAAAGCGGGTAACACACCACCACCACCACCGTCGTTATCGTCAACCACTACCACTATACCACGGTAACAATAACCCGTCGCACATAGGAGGCGGTATACACCTTTCACGGCGGCGGCGGCGACGGCGGCGGTTTCGAAACACGCACTCACTTGCTACAGCAACGGAGCTGCGGCCTTCGCGCGGGCGGAAAATCATTTTTCACATATATATACATACATACATACATACATTTTACTTTTTTCTCTCTATATCGCCGGCGTAAGGTTACGATAATAATGGTCGACCTCCGAGCATACCTACGTATCGTACGTACGGTACGTATACGTATACGTATATGGTACGCCCGCACCGTCGGCCGCGATTCGTCACAAGTCGGTAGAAAAAAAAAATAAATAAAATGTATATAAAATTCACCAAACGCGTGTATAACGCGCGTATATGTACATAATATACATGGTCGTCACACAATAGAAATACGCGACACGTTCGAAATACGACACATACCGCGCAAATAGCCCGTGAAGCTGTTTTCGCAACCCCCGACGACGACCACGACGACGGCGACGACCTGCACCTGTATGTACGCGACCGTGGTATATTCGCCTTTGTAATATATATATATATATATATATATATATATATACGCATAGTATACGGTCACCACACATCGCGTATAAGAACCGTGTAAAAACGGTATATACGGCGTCGGTAATAAGGAAAAGAAAATTTGCAAGGTCGACGGCGGCGCGGCTGACACGCGGTACAACACGTCGTGCAGTATTACACGAAATAATGGCAAAAAATTTTCAACGCCAGTGTGTGCGCATTGCCCCATACGCGCTTTGTCGCGTTCTAGGTATGTTAAATGTTTTGTATATGATACGGCCGTAACGACAATAAACTCGACGATGGCAACGTTAACCGTACATTATGTGACACGTATTCACGCGACTTTGGGCTTTCTTTTTTCTCTCTGTCATAATATATTTGGATTGATGGAAAAACACTTTCAAACTCTACGGATCATCGACAGTTGTTTAAGTCGGTATGCGCGCTATAGCAATAACTGCAATAATATGTCATTTAAAACGCGTTTATTTGTTTTTGGTATTTATATATATATATATATATATATATATATATATATATATATGTTACACCTACTATCAATCGTATAGACTGCATATAATATTCCGAATGCAGGCGTTTAGAAAACTTCCGAAATAACCATGTTCGTTTTTTATATCTATATATTCTATATTGTTACAATGAAATATGAACAAAACATGTTCCAGAATTATATTTATACCTATACTTCGATAAAATAAACTATACAGTTTTACTTATAAACCAATCCACTTGATGATAGTTATGTCGACATATATATTGCAACTAAATTGTTTTTAAGAGATAAAGTGAATGTCAAATATAGATATTATGAAAAATTATTTCAACTTAGTTGCTAATTACAAAAGATATAACCCATATACAAATACCAACAATCTGCATTTATTTTATAGGTACGAATTATGTAGAAACCCAAAACGTTAATATATGGTCAGATAATTATTCGAACTTAATTAAATTATATTTATGTAGGTTTTAAGATATGTACTTCTAACAATATAATAATTGCAACATACGCCAAATAAAAAATTTAATTCAATCACGTATCGTGTTAATCTAGGTACAAATATTGTTAAATAGCAATGATATAGTAGGTACCTATAATACTGTTTCAAATGCAGACATGCCTAATTCGATAGTTTAGTAATCATACGAAATAAGTTTTTGTATAAAGGTGCTTAATGCGTTGTATTGTCCAATAACTAGTACTCAATAATAAAATTGGTCAATTTAAATAATTTACAAAATTTGTTATAAAACCGAGTGTCCAATTTGCCTGTCTTATGGAGACAAGGGATTATTATTCTATATTGCATTGATAGAATATATTTGAGATTTAGATACATTATACATCTAAAATACAAAATCAATTGCCAAATACATTCAAACAATTTCTTATTATTTCACTACAAATCGGTACGATAGAAAACCCTTATTGAATATTGACTTTTAATTTTTTTACTCAAATACTGTTAACTGTAGTTATAATTTTCATAAAAATGATAACTTATTGATTTAAATTGTAATTACAAATAATAATAATTAGCAAAATCATGAAAATATTTAATATTCACAAATGATAATATTTAAAAATGATAATTCGGAATTAGAAAACGCGAATTATGAGTGATATTATGTATATAATACATACATGATGGAATGATGCAGTAAAAAATTCGTAAAAGTTCTGGAATTGTTGATTTATCTTATATAAAATCATTTATGACCTTGTTATTATTATTTTTTATAGGCGTTCAATTTGTTTTTAAATTGTTCTTAAATTTCTTAATAGAATGCAATAAAAAAAACTTACATAATTTAAATCAAAAAAATGTATAACATTTAAAATTTCATGGTCTTCGACGTGTCATATCATATTTATCATATCATATCATATTTTTATGTATGAAAAATGACACTCAGACACATGTTTACCGTCAAATTGATTATAGGACGACTTGTCTAAACTGGAACATGATATAGTTATAAAACGATTTGTTGAAATAACCATCGTCTAAAGGCGGTTCGGAATTGAATGATTTTTGCTTAACAGTAGTATTTTGTCGCGTTTTTTTATAAAGATAATGTACTAAAATATTCTATTTTCGGATAATGCAATAAACAAAATTAAAAAAAAATTCACCTAACGTACTGCGAGGTGGAAATAAATACCTAAAAAAAATAGATGACAAATGTTAGGTAGGTATTGGTAAAAAGCTGTATTACTGTAATATGCAACATAGATTATGATTAAAACTATACAGATTAATGTGAAATTCGTGTTGCAGAATAGACGTGACATGTAGTTTACATATGTAAATAGACTTAATGATGTAAACTATAGGTGTTCGATACTTCAAATCATAAAAAAGATGAGTTGCTTAGAAATTGAGAAAGTAAAATTTACGATTTAATAGTATATATATATGTAAAAGAAACTTTTTCAAAAGCAATATTTGTAGAATTATGTAGGTACCTAGTCAATAAAACCAGTTTATAAATCGATAAACATTCAAAATGTACACAAAAGCCACAAAGTATTTTGAAATGAATTATAAAAAGAAACCGGTTACGACACATACTAGTTTCCATTTAATACATTCACAAATAATGATAAAAAAATACGAATTTTTGAACGAACAAAATGGCAATATAGAATTTAAGACAAATTAATACCGTTCAAACTGTACAAGTATATAATTATATCAAGCACATTTATGTAAAGTAGTTGAGCTTACACGCGATCACCCAAAACATTGTATAATAAAACACAATTAAAAAACCATTTAATCCTTGATTGAAAACTCGCAGTTATTACAGAATGTATACTACGTATAATTATAATGCAAGATTGCAAAATAGAATTACTTAATTAGAGTCCGTAATCGACAAGACGTTGAGTGTTAGTTAATATTTTTATGAACAATTAATATTTATCCCTATATTTATTGATGCGTAACATAACGCGCCCTTATTATTTCTACCTGAAGGCTCATTTTTCAAGCATTTAACTAGAACTGCATTCAAAATATATCTTAATTATACACAGGCGAACGCTAAAAAAATGGAGGAAAAACCTATGTATATATACCCTGAAGGTTTTACGGCTATTTATCTTTCTCGAGGGACACTTTTTTTATTATTATTATTATTATTATTCTTTTTACAAAAACATAGCACCGTGGACGTATAATACAATATATCACGTTGTAATTTATATAATATACAGAGACAATCTTTAAATTCATTAAACCATCGTTGTCGTTGTAAATTTTATTGGTTTTTGTCGGACGTACGCCGTATGATATATAAATGTATACATATTACAATATGATAATACAACATGATGATATATTGTTATATTTTCACAGTAATGTGTGCAAAAATAAAACGTTAGATTACATGTTCCGGTCGAGCCAACGGCATCGCTAACAGTATCCGCGTGTCATCCGGCGCGCAGAATCCTGGACCGAATGTAACCGCAACGCCGTCGTGTAGTCGCAGCGCTAATTGCCGCTTAAAACTGCCCTCGAGTCCCACCACTGCGAAATTGTAATGCAGTTGCGTCGACGGGGAATGCAGTTGCGTTGACGGGGAATGCAGTAACATCGGAGGGGAGAGACGCCGAGACCGCAACAGGCTCGAGTGAATTCACTCCCACCAGTTTCCCCCGAGAAATTTCCCCGTTTTTCACAGAATACGTATTTATACATAGTATGTATACGCTCATACATGTGCGTGGAACACAGTAATTTATACAAATATATTTAATACAAACGCGTTACGGACCCACATACACGTTGACCACAACTCAGTCACGAAACCCGATGCCAACGGACACGAACTGGTCTCGTCTCAGTCTCGTCGTGTGCGCGGCGGCGATGTTAGAATTTTCTTTTTCCCACAAGTGCAATCATGTCTTTCTGTATATTAATATAATATTATATTATTATGCACCACCGATTTGCGTGAACGTGCTGGTAGCACATTGCTGCGCGGAAACAACGGACGAGGCTGCAACGACAGACGATGGACGGGACCGACGGCAAGAGACGTACACGCACTAATTTACACACCACCGTGTATACATGACGACACATCGTGTATGTCATTCGAGGACTCAACAACGATAATATATTATAACACTTGGAAGGAAGAAGACGCGACATGTTGCTGGCGACCAGATAATAATAAATATATAATATATATTATGAACGTACCAACAGAAGGGTTGTAAATGCGACGCGCCGCTCGTAAATAAACGATGCGACTGTAGTGTATATAATATTATTATACATTATGTAGATATACGAGCATTGTGTTTGTAAAATATGTACACCTATACGCATTATAAACTGACGAGGGACTAAAGGGACGTCGGTATGTGATGGAGGGTGAATTGGAGGGTCGTAGTCGTTGCGCGACCGATTTTCTACTGGTTATTTTTTTTTTCACGTTTTCGAGTAGGTCCTTGACAAACGCCGTGGGCGCAGTGCTTAATCGAGTAAGTATTATAATATATATATATATATACATATATAATATATATCATTATATACATATAGACATATAACGCA